CATATTTTGTTCTACCTTCCGACATATTCCACAAAACCTACAAATGTGAGCTACATCCCTAACCCTATCAATTCGGATTGGTAGAAATACAAGAAATTGTAATGTTTTACTGGTCAATCCTCAATGAATGAATTTTCATTGGACAAAACTAGACATACAAAGATCAAGTTTGGTCGGAGTAACGGTGATATTCATCCATATTCCCTCAAATGCATCTACAGCGCGAGATAGAGAACATTAAAGGTCCAATCAAAATCAAAAATTTCGACTTTAAAAGTGCAGTTGTCAAGATTCAAGGCGGCTACGAAATTCGTCTTACAGCACAGGAACGAAGTCAAGTGACTCGTTAGGATCAGATCATGCATCTACTGTTGATGCTGGCCCACATCAGAGCGAGGATGACTTTGCGTCGGAAATCTTGAAACGGCAGAGAGAAGAGACAATGTCTTCTTCTGGCTATGTGTACACGTCCTTTGTTGTGCCTACATCAAATCACGTTGAACGGCTTTTCAGCCTGTGCAAGCGTCTGTACTCTCCACATCGGCGGTCATTGAGTCCTAGAACTAGAAATACTGGTGTATTTGAGATCAAATCGACTTCTTTGGGACCAAGCGCTTGTGGCATCAGTTGTCCATAGCAGTCAAGATGAAATTGATGACGATTTTGACGAAAATGATGAAGACATAGGATTTGACATAGAGTAAAATACATGCCTCAATATATTGTTTATTATTGTCAATATAATTCAATATATTGCAATAATTGATTATTCGACTTGTCTAGACCAATACAATACAAAATACCATATTGTTAAGGCCTGGCCTCCACTGTAAATGTGGTAATTATCTTCCGGATAAACATGTTCGTAAAACCAAAATATGTCGACGTACTTTCAGAAGCATACATAATCCAAGTACATGAAAATTGCATATTTTGGTTTTACGAAACAGTTTGTTTCGTGTTCTGTTTAAAATCCGGCATATTGTTTCGCACGTGTTTCGTAAGTCCATACTATTGTGCACTTGTTTTGGCGTCGGTTTAATTGTCGATTTGACGTGAATTTCCGGACTTCACTCTGTACTTCAAACCGATCCGAAACCTCGCCAACACTTTTGATTGGCTAATATGCATAACCAATCAACGCAAGCACAATCCTCTGCACACACACACAGTGACAATCGAGTCCGTAGTCAACTCAAGCACAATGATGCATTGCTTGTACGGCTACTTCTTCTTGGGGATCAAGAAAAGCCACTTGGCCGTGATCTATCGCAAAGACGAGAAGATCATCGCCAACTGGGTTCAACGCTACAACGACACTGAAACCTACAGTCGGAAGAATGCACCCCAAACACGAACATTTAAGCAGTACCAGAAGGACTGGCTCATCGCGTACTACCAAGGACTGTCGTTTCTAGACGAGGCCAAGAAGGCATTCCTTCGCAAGTCTATCGTCCATCAACACTTCCCATGTTTCGACGATCCTCCACGAGTACAGAATGACATGGAAAGTGATGGAGCGACGAGCAATGCCAAACCAATCAGTAAGACGTATGCCGGTTCGTGACAGAAGTTGACAGCATAGATTGGAGCCAGTGCAACATTGTCTTCCTGGACGAAATCAGTTTCGATAATCGCGGCATGCTTCGCAAGCGTGGGTACTTGATGCGGGCTGAAAAGATTGTTTTCTGGGGAGAATTTAACCGCAAACCCCATGTGTCACTGATTTGTTTCATCGGAGCTGACAGTAAGCTGGACTACTATGACACTGAGGGAACCTTTGACCGAGAGACCTTTGTACGGTGCTGCACTTTGTTCGCTCATTCAGGCCTTGTTGCGATGCACCCTGGTGGCAACTCTGTGTGGATCCTTGACAGCGCCAAGATACATTGCCATGACGAGATTGTGATGTACTTCCGAGAAATTGGCATTGTGTCAAATACCTCCCTGCCTCTTGCCCGTTTTACAACCCCATTGAGTACTTTTTTGGATATCTCAAGAAGTCATTTCAGCGCAATTATGCATAATGCCGTACTGAGAAGAGCTTAATTTTGTTTATGGTGAGAATCATCAGCAAAATGAAGTACCTGGACATGTCCAAGGTATTGGCACACTGCATTTGGTTGAGTACCGGTCGCTTTGACCCACGCAAAGGCCTCCAACATGGTAAAGTTCGTCTGGGCGATGTTAGAATCGATACCAGTGATTTAGGCTTTAATGAAGCTCAGTAATCAAGCGTTTTGTCACGTGACAATTACTCCTAGATCTACTACATTAAAGATGCAGATGATGCAAACGAACAGTGCTGAAAAACTTTGATATTGCTATATTCCATGTCATCGATGGTGTAATCATACTCCATGTCGTCGATATTTCAATATCGTTCAATTCAGTCGTAACTACCTCATCGTGAAGTATTGGGGCTAGATCTGTTTCCATTGAAACCAAGAACTTCCCTTTTGTTCGCTAGTCCCCGCTGAATTATTTTCAAACGATGCACGACCATGCCAACAGCTCCGGCTAAATCATCCAGCTCGGCGGGGGACGCATCCACAACGTCCAATGCTGATCGAATGTGACGGTGAAACGATTCCATTCGAGCTTGATGCCCCGATATCTTTGGTTTCGACCGAGCAAGCATGTGGGAGGCGGCATTTGCTGGACTCGGGACTCCCAAGGCAAGAGCGGTGGTTTCACAACATAGGTGGCCGAAATCCGCCAGATAGGTTAGGCAGCCTCCCACGTATCATCCCACTTGGTGTGCAACTTGGCCATATACTCTTACAAAAATAGTGGCTTCTGTTGGAGCACCGGATCGATCTTGGTTCCTTGGGACGACGTGACTTGTTGTGAAGTCAAACAGTTGATCCTTTGTGGCGACTTAGTTCCCGTACTTGTAAATCGACAACGAGATGCGTGTGCTTCGTATCGAAACAAGTCACTCGTTCATTTTCGACTCATCCTCCAGCTTCTTAGTGTGGCCCCCGTAACGCAACTCAAAGATACGTCCAAAGTGTGACTCGTTGATGTCGTCGTCCAATACGGCCCATGCGCCATCGTCGTTGCTTCGTTTTGAACTTCGTAAAGATCTTGGTCTGGATTTCGCTCCAAGTGGAACCCCCGCAGACGTACGGCGCTAACTGGCCAACATGGGTCCGGAAATTCGTACCGAATCTCCGATACTTCGTGCATACTACTACAGTAATAGTAGCTAAAAGAGTAGTACTTCTCCTGTAACTGTGTTACTCCGGAGTACAAGGTTGAATGAATACCTGGTATTTTAGCTAATTCACTGGGGTTTTACAAATGCCAAATAACTCTGAGCAATAATAATTATTAGTGCATGTGATACTGAATGGGCCAAAATACCTTGGCTGTTAATTCCATCGCGTAGTACATGCAGGTAGCATGTACTACGCGTGGTTTTCTACGATATGGCACAATACGTTCATCGCTATACAGTAGTACGTAGGCGCATGTCCTCGCTGTGTATCATTTGCAATATCAAAAGTTGTTCATGATGACCAGTGAATTGTGCAATTCGGTCCCGAGAATAGCAGATATAACTTTGACTAGCACTTTTCAAATGTTCAAAAGCAAGGGAGTTGCATAAACGACCTCCCTAAAATTACATTCTGTAATGAAACGTGACACCCTAATCACGGCGCGGATTATCTAAAGCACTGAACAAACACCCAGGTTTATGGTGTGGATAGCCAAAACGAGTTAAAAGCACAATACTCCAACTAGTATATTTTGCGGGATATCGCAACATTCCCTGTCGCTCTGCTCGTCGTCAAATGCCCCTTCACACAAGGTTGTCCGTCGCATGTGTAAACGACAAAGTCCAGGCACTTTCCACGGGAACGTGCCTGAATGATGTCGTTTGAAGGTTGGTTTTCAATGTCCACAACTCGTCCTCATGCACCATGTTCCATGATCCCGCCGTCCAGCACGGAGAATCCATGAAGGAGTTCTGGATGGGACGTCGAGGTTTCAGTGGATCCTTCGATCCTCATTTGGGCCGTTTAGGGCAGATGTAGGTTGGCCGGATCCATACTCCACAATATCACAAGGGATTTTAGTACCATCCACCTTAGGCCTCTTTGAATTGGGCTTGTGGGTGATGTTAAACCTAAACTCCTTACACCCACAATCCTCATTTCGTTTAGGACATTCCGACTTCACGTGCCCAAGAACCGTAACGTCGTTTCCCACAGTTGGACCATTACCATGCTTGCGCTTCTTGTCCCTCGATTGGACAAAATTCACAGCATGGTTACCCTTGGGTTGGCCATACCCATGGTAGATGCCGTTTGATTGGCTACCCATACCCGTAATGACCACTTTTCCCAAAAATCCCAATGAGTTTCGCCTCCACTTCGACGAGGTTAAACCCCTTCTCGTCTAATTAGAAGAGCTCCAAAGTACTCATTGGGTAAAACATCCAAAACCAACGCCACAATCAGATCCTCACTGATAGTATCTCTACCCAAGTACTTCTGATAATTTTCCAGGCAGACTTGAGGTCGCAAAATAAGACTTCAAGGTTAGGAAAATCGTTATTCGCCGTCGAGATCAAATGGCCGATCAAGGTCTTAACCGTGGTGACGTTCGACTCCCCATAGCGCTTCTCGACGGCGGCCCAGTGTAGGTGCACGGGCTGGTCTTCACCAAAGGCGTCCTTGAATTGCTGGGTAAAGGCGTCAGGGAGGACCTGCTGAGTAGGCTTCTGATTTCTTGAACTTGCTCAGATCGATAGTAGGAGTACCACCGTTGCTCAGATTCGTTCGCACCAAGTACCACGGGGAGCTCGCCAGAAAGCTAGTCTTCGAACTTGATCTTCGGCTCAGGTCGGCTCGTCTGATTTGCCAACCATAGGCCAACTTTCGCGGTGGTCAGTGCCTTGAGGTGCTGTACCAACTTCTGGGTCCTCGTGTGGACCCAGAAGTGTCGTTAAAGACCAAGAGTTGAATGTTGGAGTCCTTGGAGTTGGCAGCCATAGTGTCGTACTTGAAATATTGAGAAGCATCGATTGGGTAGCAGTAAGGGCTCAGTTTAGAGAGGAAACTGGAATGACCAAAAGGTCTGCAGAATCAACTCGGCACATCCTAGCCCAAGCCACTTATGTATCTACGGTCTCAATCAATGGTGGCTACCACTGGTGACTAGGGTTGCAGATTATCTCAAAGTCACTCCCAATCACTGATCACCATGTCAATGGGACATCAAGTGACATACCACTCCGTCCCAAATCACTGACACGTTTGGACATTCTATTAGTTGTAAAATTAGAAAATAATGAATTTTATTAAAAAGATTACCTTATCCAATACTGTTGAGGAAGGTGACATGGGTACATTTAAGTGAAATTGATACCTTCGTGGGAATATAAATTATACAGCCGATCTCGTTTTCGATATATTTGAGACAATCTCCATAACGTGACCAAAATTTGGATTTATTCCTTCTTGAATTACTCAGCGGCTATTTTTGCTAGAACAAAGATGGACACATATTCTGATAGCCAATTTCAAGTGCTTTCACAAGGATTTAAAACCGATCGGATCTGACAGGTCATGTTTCTCCAATTAATTTAGAAAGTTGAGCTATTTACACAGTCGATCTGTGATCCGCCAAAATATATACTTGAAGTGAGTATTGAATTCAGTTTAACAAAATCCGAAATATTTAGCTGAAAATATAATATGATAAAGGTATATTAGTTTTAGAAATGTATGAAGTTTTGAAGTATTGACAGGTTGGAGTGTTGGACAATTCGTGCATAATTTCTCACGAGGTCAATATTGTAAGAGGTTTTGTTTTGTCCAATACAGTTCGAAATTCGAGAAACCATGTTATTGGATAAAAATATTTGGCGGATCACTGGTCAGTTGGCGGATCACTGATCGGTCACGTTTTCGAATATTTCCAGCTGAAAAGTCTACAAATGTAGCCTGAATGCAATCACAATCGTACATTCATTGAAAATTGATCATGTCCTTGAAACCAATGTGCCAATTATTGTTGGACACAGAGTATTACTCCAGTAATCGTACGTACTAACTACTACACCTTTTTTTCTATTGACTTGGGACTTTTTTCAACGTTCTTGGCTTGGCGCTCTTTTCAAAATCGCATTCCATACAACAATAGAGAACACTGCACCACAAATACCAGTACGATGTCGTCGCTCACAATATGCTAACCATGCTCATAGCCACGCAAGAAATACAAGCGCATCCCCTTGTCTGCGAGCGTCGTGTCGCGGGGTTTAAGACAAGTTAATGAGTAGGCGCGGCGCAGGCAATCAAGGAGACTCAAACCCAGGTGTGGAGTTCGAGGCAAAATGTAAAGTCGAGTTAGTTAAAGGTGTGGTCGTAGCTGTAGTCCTAATGCTCTAAGTTCTACTGCATTGGCGGTTGACGGTTGAGGGATCTCCGTCTCGGTAGATCTTCAA